CAGACCTCCATTTATCTGAAATCAGTCTGGAAGTTGAATTCACTATACATAAAGAACAAGATTCGGATTTTCAACACTAATATCAAATCAGCCACTGCTTCCATATAGTTCAGAGTCTTGAGGTGTTACCGAAAGCACTTACATCCAGCAGGCTACCGCAGACTTTTATCAACGGCTGTTTTTGCTCCATACTGAAAATCAGATGGCCAGTAGATGTCTGTCTGTCTGTCTGTTTTTCGACATAGAACTTTGCACATATGTGCGTCAGTTCAAGTCGCCACACTTCACTCAGCACACAAAAGAAAGAAAAGAAAGTGGGAGAAATGCATAATATAGACAGTAAACAGAGAAGTGAGACAAAGGAATAGTAATAACGAAGAACAAACAGTTTAATTGGAAATCATAAGTCACAAGGAGTGGATGCATCTGCTCCAGCCATTGAGAACGATTTTGAGCCATGTCACCAATTGTTTCCAACCATTGATTTTTACCGTCCCGAGGACCCCAACCAGTCAGGAAGTCTACACCTTCCTACGTGACTGGCTTAAACTAACTGTTGCAGATTTCATTGACTGATGTCATGTTTTCGTTTGACCGCCGCTAGCTCTTTTCCAGCCTCACCCTATATCAGCTAACATTGCCTGTCGTCGAGGAAGGCGATGACTAGGCATACGTAACACATGTCTTAACTATCTCAGCCGATGTAATTTTACATTCTCGTCAACTGATTTCCCCTCCTTACCTAGCACTCGACCGAAGCCTAACCTCAATATTGCTCACCTTATTATACCACTTTACACGGGAGATAGAACGCAGACACCTATGATCGAAGACAACTAATCTTTTCATATCTTCCACTCTCAATGGCAAGGTCTCACAGCCATAAAGGAGGACTGAGCGGACTGATGAGCAGTACACACGCCCTTTGGTCGATAGTCAGATATCACGTCTAAGCCAGAGACGGCGTAAACTGGCATATGCGAAACTAGCCCTCTGTATTCGTACTGAGATTTCGTCAGCGATCAACCTGTTGGGGCTGATGATACTTCCCAAGTAAGTGAAGCGGTCTACGTGCTCTACCACTTCACTTCCTATTTCTAATCTAGGAGTCCGTGAAGTCCAATCCTGCAACATCATCTTACATTTTACAGGGGCGAATCGCATGCCAGATATACGAAGATTGCTGCTTAAGGTGTTCAGAAGACTCTGCATTTTGTCAGCGTCCTCGCTTAGAAGGATTATATCGTCTGCAGTAGATAAGGAATAGCAACAAGAACTTATCACCCTATAAAAATATGCCAAGAGAAATGGAGATGGAATGGACATACGCTGATGAAACCGTTGAGTGATATTCCGCGCCATGCATACCCTCAAGTGGAACCCGAACAGGAAGCGAACAGTTGGACGTCACTTTAAGGGCGGCATCGAGGACATCACGTGAGGAGGAGATGAAAGCTTACGGGAAATCGTGGGGTCAGCTAAAAAGGATTGTAGTGAACAGGATAAAATGGGGATGTGCTGTTGAAGCCCTCTGTGTCACTCTCAGAACCCAAGGGAAAAATAATAATAACAATAAATAATGGTCTTTAACGTACAAAAATAACTAGTGACAATCTAAACCAATTTTTGACTGAAAACTATATGCAAGCACAAAAAGTTAAGTTCATCATTGCTAGAATCCAACAACCGTAGTAGTTAAATACTTTTTAAAACATTTAGTATCATGCATTACCAGCCAGCCTATCGGGTAGGCAGAACTAAGTAGGAACTTGTGAGTTGTATTTGATATCGCATAGTACTTGCAAGAGACAAGCATGCAGGTATTTATTTCAGTTTTTTCTTCACAAACCACTTACTATGTACTAAAATGGTGTAGAACAGTAGTTAACAGATCTAAAAGCTGGTCAATCAACATCTTTACATAATAACAGACAGCCAAAGAACACCCTACTTTGGATATATACAAATATATAATTACAACTTTATTATTCCCCTGAGTTAGGAGTGGAACATAGGGTTTCAGCAGCCTATCACGACACCACTCTCTTCTCTTCAGTCCTTTTTAGCCAGCTCCAAGACTGCCCATAAACCTTCATTTCATCCTCACCCAATCTCCTCCATGTTATTCTCGGATATATGCCCAAGTTGTATTTTCCTATTCAGACCGCACTCTAGGGCCTGACTGGAGCGGTCACCTGATCAAGTGCTGGACTAAAGGTTCTTGATTGATGATCCCATGTCAGAATTCCTTGTCGCTTATTTTTTCTGGTGGGCCATCTGATCTCAAGTATCAAGCAAAGGCAGCTGTTGATAAATTTGTAGTCTGTTGGAAATGCTTTTCGTGACGCTTTAAGTTTCTGCACCACAACAAAGTACTGACGAACTTGATATTTATAAAGCACAAAATAATTGAGCAAAGAATATCATTTTTGATCATTTCCTCCTGTTCTGGTTCTACAATATTATACATATGTTTATATACATCAAATATTCTGGAATTGTAGTCAATAACAATATTGGTGTGCTTTTTAAATAATATCGATTTGTAAAGTAAGATAAATGCAATTACAGTTCATTAAAGATGCTTAAATTACAATAATAATAAAAATATAATAGCGAATAGAATATCAACTAAAATTAATGACATTTCTACAAAAAATTCGAACCTAGATGGCCAAGGTAAGGACAATGTCGGAACTAACTTCTTTTGGAAGCACAAATTAGGCTTCTTAATTTGGATCCCAACGGCCAGCCTCAGTAATATTTAGTAGTCGAACTCTTAAAGCGAAGTTAGGATTTGTTGGTATGCGGTAAATGACTCTGAAAGCCTCGTTAACATCAATCTTGTGTTCTGTACCCACAAGATGAGATAGAATAGTGCTATGAATGGATTTTGTTTCTCCTTTACTTAACCACACAGGGTGATGTTCGGAAATTCGACGAGAAACACGCCTAATTGTACGGCCTACGCAAATAACTGGCTCCACAGGAGCAGTCAAATTGGTAGATACACATGGAAGAGGTGGAATTATGCAGTTTATCTTTTACTCCCGAACGCAAAAGAGGAGTGGTTTTGAAGACACAGCGTAATTCAGTAGCACTGAATGTGTTTTTGACCACATTTCTGAGGCGCTGTGTTAGTATCTCGCTGATGTTATCCCCAAGGAACTGCATTTTTAAGAATAAGGCTTCTTTAGGGACTGTTGGTACCTTGGGTTGCTTTGATTTTATATTCATATTCTTATCAATAAACTTTTCTGGATAACCATTTTCATTCAGCAACCGTTTAGTAGTATTGGTGTTGAAAATCTAAATCTTGTTCCACACTGATTTCAGATTGCTAAAGGTATGTCTTACCTTTCCTAGCCTGAACTTGACATCCTAATCCTGCAGTTGAAACCATGCTGCCGAGGTAAGTTTCTTTAGATTTCTCCTACTGATTGTAACTGATGAACTTTGTTGTTTTTGTTGATTAGGTATCCTTTTATAACGAGTTTGACCACGGATTGATATCAGTTAAAGAACCATTGAAAACCAGCCACAAAGAGTACTGGACAGCCAGCTGTTTCACCCTAGTCGCTTTGGAATCATCGGCAGCACGCACCCATTACACGGGTTCGAATCTAGAACCTTCCGGTTACAAGGCAACCTAGCTTGTATATCATTCAGCTACTGGGACCCGATTCCTCAATGACCATCCCATGAATTCTAACTTCTACCAATTCGTGATTTTAGCGAGACCGGGGCACCAACCAATGTCATCGCGAGGGAAATCCATCCTCACACTTGACTGGTTGGACCTCACCACTTGAAGCCCTGTATCACTTTTGTCACCTCTCCTACCATCTTGTTGTTTATTTGCCTGTAGACCTTCGAATTCGTGTAACATTAAACATTACTGCGACAGTTATTTAGCATACTGACCTACAAGAAATGAAGATGGTGTTTTTAGTTATGATTTTTCTTTTAGTCAATAGTTAACAAGCTGTTACCATGATTAGCTAATAAATAAAACAGCCGATGATATATGTCTGATTTCCCACAAACTGGAAGATATGCAAGCGAAAAGCACCAAGTTGGCAGAAGAAGCATCAAAGATAGGACTTCACTTCAGGTGAACATAGAGAAAACAGAGGTGATGAAGATTCCTGGCCAACAGCAATAACAGCAACAACAACTACTGACAACAATCAGCATAAATGGAAGGAAGCTGAAAGAAGCAACCTCCTTTACCTACCTGAGAAGCATCGTTTCAACTACAGGTGGAACTGACGAGGATATCGAAACAAGGATCGGAAAAGCAAGACAAGCTTTCACTACTCTCAAGTCTGTGTGGAGGTTAACAGCACAACTCAGCATCAAAAATAAGATCCGGATTTTCAACTCTAATGTGAAGTCAGTCAGTGCTACTATACGGATCAGAGACTTGCACTGCGCGTCATAAAGAGCATCTCAAACAAACTACAGACCTTCATTAACAGTTAACTTCGCTCAATACTCAAGATCAGATGGCCACAGAAGATCAGCAATAGAGATCTCTGGGAGCGAACCAACCAGGAACCGATTGTGAAACAAATAGGCAGGAAGAAATGGAAGTGGATTGGTGGCCACACTCTGGGGAAACCATCAAGTAACATCACTAGACAAGCCATCGCTCGAGTGGAACCCGAAAGGGAAGCGGCGAGTTGGTCATCCAAGGGTGACTTGGAGGAGGTCATGTGAAGAGGAGATGATAGCGTGTGGGCAGACTTGGAGCCAGATGAAAACTCTAGCAGAGAACCAAACGCAATGGAGACGCACGGCTGAAGCCCTATTTTCCTCTAGGAATTAAAGGAAACAATAATAATAATATAAAACAGCAGTACGGCATATTCATCATTATAATAAATCATAGAAATGGTATATTGGTCTTAACTTGTCAACTATACAGTCATAACACTATGAATGTTACAAACAAACAGACAAACAAACCACTTTCAAAGTTATTCAACAGAACTAACCTTAAATTGAAAATGTTTAGTATAATGAAAAGTGTTAGGCACACCACTACTACTACTGCCGCTGCCACTGCTGCTGCCGCCTGTTGCTGCTGCTGCCTTGTTCTGAATTCCCATGAGAGTTGAAACAGTACTTTGACTTATTATACACTAATGTAAGCATAATTTCAGCACCGGTAAGACGATGTAATTCAAGCGCTTTCTTAAAAAGACCATCACGACGTTTACGAAAAGTGGCCTAAACAAAACTGGCATCGAAAAAAAAAGTTGACGCTTACCACACACTTGTTTTTATCTTCAATTTTTCGAACTTCTATTTTTCTTCGTCCCATTACTTGTAAGTAATAATAAATACGTCTCGTTCACATAGTTTTAAAACCATATTTCGACTAACATTTACTCTGAAACACGTAAAGTAAAGCTTGCAAGTAATGGATATTATGATGACTAATATGAATTAAGAGTATATTATTACCGCCAATTTTTGTAAACACCATGATATGTTTACGAGCAGCCATTCAATAGAAACAGCAATTTAACAAAAAAGCTGAATATTAGGAGAACCCCAAAAGTTATACTGAGACGGGAAAGGAAACAACTATCTTTTAAAGATTTACACCTTACCATATTAAACATATTGACTAGAAAGCTTGCAAGCTTATGAAATAGCGTAGGGGGTTATTACTTCTTCCTGGAGCGCTTGAAAAAGAAGGTGCATTAGTATTGCCTGACCACACAGGCCATCACAAACTGCATGTTTGAACTTAACGACGTTTACGTACTGCAACAAGGTAATTCGAGATGGACAATTTTTCGGGTCGAACTTTTTTAAACACCTCTCTAGAGCGGAGAGTCAGAACGGCCGGCTTGCTGGTTAGTTCAGGGGAAAACCTCAATGCGGTTATACTCTATTCACCGACATTACAACTTTCCCCACATACTGCCAGCATAGCGTAAACAACTTACACAATGACAGTAACTACTTTCAGTTTAACTGCTATCGAAACAACGTTTCTGGAACGGTAGGACCTCCAGGAACATTAGTTCCACCTAGTGCAATTCGTTGGATCATTGCAGTTTGCAAACCTGACCACAACATCCACGTAGCAGCTATCAGTCAGACTACTGAACATCCGAGGCTTATCACTAGAAATAATGTGAAGGCGAAAATTATTGTAAGACAAAACTCTTTACATATAATATGTAAAAAAGTTTTTGAATCGTAAAAGAATCCTGTTGTAAACGTTAGTAATTTGCCGAAATTAGCCTGTAGCATTTTCAATTCACCACAGATTAATTGCTTAAGTTGACCTGTTAGGCTAAAGGTACACAGTCATGCATCTACGCCAATCAGCATGCTTCCAGCTTCATCGTTAACATCAATATCTCTATGAGCGTTAAGACAGAACTTTCAAAAATAAGACATTATCTTCATAGTTACACAATTCCAGCATATATCCCACCGTACTTTATATATTGAAAGTACCGAAATAAACCCAGAAGTATCCTAGTTGCCAACAATTAGTGGAAGTGATCAGGTACGGAGTAATGTAAATTAATGGATGAAAGGTGGGAATGTCTATTTAAAATGTCTAGGCAATAAAGTCTGTAGTCTGATAACTAAGTTAACTAAGTCTAAAGAATGAAATCAAAGAAGAAGAAAGGCATCACTGCAACATGACTACCCAACAGAATTCATACAGAACTCATAAGAAGTATAGAAACAGTAATGAAATGACTGTAATATGACATGAGGCATTTGAGGCACCCACCTGCCCAAGATACTGTCGCATAAAAACAGACTTGAAGTCCTATGAATGATTTCTTGTGATATTTTAATCCAAAAATGCATGTGGAAACAAACTTTATGGGTCTGTAAATCCCATAAGACGGCATAAGACAAAATGGTTTGATTTGCAAAATACGTACGTATGGGCAGGCCTCGGGAGCATTGAAGAATCTTCGGGTTAGACTGCAGATCACTGCCACACACATTCTGCAATGCGCCCGAAGAAAATGACAGCTGGGACCATGAAATGGTTGAAGTCAGATACGAAAGTCAGTTAGTTTGCTGTGTGAATCTGTTCAGACGCAAGATAATGCACCCTATTAAGGTATATATATATATATATATATATATATATATCATATCATATCATATATCAACAGTTTGTAAAGGTTACGAAGATAGTGTGATTAAGTTCGACCACAAAATAAGTATACAACGTGATTTCTTATTTTTTATTCTTGATTTTGATTACAGCTTGATTCCACACAGTGCTTTTGGTACAAGCATGAAATTTTCGGCAAGTGATATCGGTAGCCCAAATTTTGCAGGCCGACTATAGATATCAGGTGTGCGTCGGCAGGGGGTCGAACCCCGGACCATGTGCATGGTCGGCGAGAGTCCTAACCGCTGTGCCACCGACGCACAAAAATTGAATGGGCCAATCCTCGAGGTAATGCAATACGAGGCCGACCCGTGGACGGGGTTGAGCAAGCTCACAGCACCCGTCCGTAAGGGAAAAATACAGGTAATTTCATTGGTCTCAGTTTAGAGACCGTTGCATAAATTACACAGCAAAGAACAGATACTACACATGATCTTAGCTCAGAGAGCCAGATATAGAGGGCCCTCTCTACAGTGGTTGTATGCTATAGCATACATGCATCATAGTGCATGTATAGCAATAAACGAAACTTTCCTGGAATACTTACCTTAATGGGGTGTATCATCTTAGGTTCCTAGTCATAACTAGTAGATTCACATTCAGATTCAGATACCAGGTCATAAGTAGATGTCCTAATGATCACTTTAGTACATCAATGAACTAAACACTTTTGGGTGTTCCACCTCTTTATGCGTTATTTTTATCTGATAAGTTAGTATAAAACTTACCATGAAGCGATATTTACTCTTGAATGATCCCATTAACCTATTGTAATGCTCCTACTGTTCAGCTTTTCACAAATATTGTGCAAAAATAATGAGCTAGGATATTTACAATCCCCCTAATATCAATTAGTTGTCATTTAAGATGTCTAGAACCTAAGTCCAGAGTATTTTATTTGTTCATCAAAGCGAAGGTGAAAGCTTACAACACACTTCAAACGCAAACTTTGAGGAACCTTGAAAGCGAAAATGACCTTCAATATCCAATACTTTTGTGATATGCTTATTCATTTCTTTCGATTTTTATTTTAGTTTCATGTTGTTTTTGGGTCTTTCCCAGGACTGTAACAAATTTCAATGCTGAGAGTCCCTCCTTTTGATTGCCGTAACTCTGGGAAACTCGAATCTATGTTAGTTTATTTTGGAGGAAATGTGTGGTTCATACCAATGTATTAACGTTGTTGATATTCACAAATTTTGTTTCCTCATACAATCCTACAGACGAAAAAGGTGATATAAGTAGAGTAGAACACAGAAACAGGTAATGAATGTAAAAAGAATATGGTAAGAGGATTGTCAGTGACAGGAGAGGTAGTAGGAGCATGCATGGAAACAGATAAAGAGAGACTGATATCAAATGACAGCTCCAATACAGCCTCGCAAATACAGACCACTTTTCTCTAAGTGTTTGTAAGCCTTTTGCTTTGGCAAAATGGTTTAGTCTTCTTTTGATGCTATCCATGGGTCATATCAGCACGTGGCGAGTTCGTAAGCGACAAACCTTAGGGGGAAAAGCTGTACTGCACATTAATCACTGCTCTTTACTAAGCAACTCAAGTCGGACGCCTCCGAGACGCCATAGTGCCTTCACGATATTTTCTTAGTAATGGTAGTTTGGAATATGCACTATTTTATGCCGTAATCTAGCCCCTCGTGTTTCTGCAAATAATGAGAGTACACAGATACGGTATTCACAGTCGACCCAGTGACTATGTAGTCAGGTAGCCTTTGACTCCTAAGTTTGGCTGTACATATCTTTTTAAAACTGTATGGAATGTTTATCTGCCTCTTTATCTGTCCGACCACAAAATAGCAGGATTTGGTAGCTTTGTTCTCATTCCCAGCATATTTCGTGTTGTATTTAATTTTTTACTTTAGCCAAGAAGCTAAATGTTGACTTTGTCCCCATGTATGATAAGATATCTTCTCTTGGATCGACAACTGTTAATGTCGGAAAGAAACCTGTCTTTTGTGGTTCGAATTTCAATGCCGGTCAAATCTTCCTACAACCCGCCAAAATCCTTCTCTTCATTTATCACATTCCTTCACAATTCACATCATTTATGTGGAGGAGTGTTGATAAGCTTAAGTTGTTCGCCTGGTGTTTTGTGGAAATCATGAATAACAACAGACTGACAATGTCTCCACATGACGCTCCAATGGTTGATAATATTCATGTACAGTATACGCGATTCAGCTTAGTACGAAATAGTTTAGCTTCCAGGCGAATTGTAATCAGGGAAGCTAATGGTTTGTCGATTCCTGTGCTTGCACAAAATTTCAGGCCACATTGTGGATTGCCAAGGAAAGTTGCGTTGATCGCCTTCTTGTTGTTTGACTTTCTGTCGAATTCATCACCTACTTTCAGGCTGCAACTATTGGCAATTAGTTCATCCTTAAGGCCTCTAACAACACAGACCCCTTGGTTAGCACTTTTTCTAAGAACCGTCAACCAGTACAGATTTTTGGTAGAATAACATGGTATATCCATCTATCCTGCCGGGGTTTCGCGTTGCAACACTCCATATGGCTGAGTTTGTGGCAAAGTCTTATCCTGTGCTTGACAGTATCTACTTGTACCATGGTCTTCTTGAGAAGACGTTTTCTGCTTTTATCCAGTCACTCTTTGTCTGTGATTTTTAGTCATCACAGAGGCCAGTTCGTAGAAGCATTTCGTGATAACGTCCTTCGTCCGTTCTCGGTGATCATCCACGTTTATTGTGTAGTGTTCTTTAGGTAGAGACAGTCCCCTTGGCTTCTCTCATCCGTTGAATTTGGGCTCTGAGACATCAGTGTTAGAAGGGGAAGTTATAAATCTTCCTTGAAAACTAAGTGGAAGATTGCTACTGCATGGTCAACGTTGTCTTTTGATGGCTATATTTCCACATTCTTTAAAAGAGAATAAAATCTAATGGGTGTCACCTTTATCAACTCGTAAAGACCTGAAGTCACGATTCCGTTCACCAACTCCACTGACAACTTCTCTATAAGTTTTCCAGCTAAGGAGCGATGAAACATATAAATAATACACATATTTCGTATAAACGTATAAATTTACATGAAATGCATGCCGTTTTTACAGGCACGATCAATTATGTCACAAATTGCAATTGTGAATTAGCATGTATGATCACTTTTTCAAAAGTTCAAATTTTTGAATTATAGTACAAGCAATCGGAACAGATTCTTATAAATGTTAATTTGTAAACCTTTCACGAAG